AAATGTAATCTAGGCTATAACTCGTAATTACAGGTGTTATTATCTATTCAGTGTTAATGTATTGGAAAATTTAATGCCAATCCTTTAGCACATGCCTATGCGATAACATAATTGGCGCTTATAGTCACTGTTAAAAGCCATTGGAAATGCATTGAATTGCTGTATAGTTGTAGTGAATGTCATCACATTTCTATGCAATTCACTTATGATTAGGAATGAGATGTTATAAATAATTCTGTACTTATAATTTACTTATACATACTGTATTGTCTCATATATTATACTACCATTTATTCTGTGACTGACTGTCTGTACACTACCCTAATATAGCACCAAAACTTGTTCAAGAAAAGGTTTACATATTTACATAATCCTTTATATTGCATAATATATGTTTTATGTTTAGACTACAAGAATATCAACACCGGTATCTCAAGTGATAATCCTGGTACTGATATGTACCAAAATTATTCGCACCGGTATGCTTCCATAATGTTTAGTACACTATATCAAACCAAATTAGTAAATAAAATAAATTTCATATACAAAACGAAACTGTTTTCAAATATAATTTAATCTTAAAATATTTATTCTTATAAATTTATAACATATTAAAATTTTTAAATAAAAATCCAATGATTGGTAGAAAAGGTATAGAAAAAATATTTAAGTTTAGATAGTTTTATAATTTTATTTTCTATATATTTTCACTTACATTCTCAAAAACTATTGAAAACTTAAATAATATAATAATATTTTAGTGACAATTGAACCCATAATAAGGTACAGTACCAAAGGTATACCAAAGGAATAGTATTCTGTGTTATTATAATAAAGTTTTTGTCAATTATTGTGAAATCATAATCATATTAACAAAAGTCTCCCTTTCTTTTCGATTAAAACTTAGAAAATTGGTGTTACAGTAGATGGAGAGCACCGGTAGTGGATCTCATTGTCTAAAAGCAAAATTCTCATGAATTCTGATTTTTGTATTTATTTTGAATTCATTGAGGAATCGTGTGTTTATGGCTTTGACTGCCAATGTGTACTCAACTGCACAGCACATCTATCACATACAGGTGCCACACTCACAAGACTTTGCAAAGTAATCAATAAACTTTAAAAGGGTCAGGTTCATTCGCTCGCAGGCTTATTGGAACGGCTATATACAGATATTCAGTATTTTACATATACTGTGTTTGCTGTAAATGTGGGATAAGTGGGTGGAAAGGGGTAATGAATTTGTTTATTTGAAAGTTTAGAAACCTTTATTTAAGTCAATAATTATAAATAGTAATCCATGTACGGTATATTTGACAGTCAAGCAGTGCCGTAAACTACAGGTACACTACAGTCTATAGACAGCAATTAATTATTGATTTGTTTTTATGTATTGTTTTGTGAATAATAGCGAAACCAATAGTGAAATCGAAAGACTGAGTGATTATCGCACCGATAGCTCGCATGCATTGCACACCAGTTACGGAATATTCATTTGTCTAAAAGCCATTGAATACTGTCTATAACTATAGTTTTTGTTGGCAAACAAAATCATAAAATAAATTGCAGCCAAAAAACTTCACTAAAAACAATACATTGAACGGCTGGCAGAGCACAGACTTCCGAGAAGTCTATCCCTTCCCTAACAGAGAGAGTGTATGTCCCACACCATCAACGAAGACCTTCGGAAGACCAGTCATGTGTGACTCAGTGGCACAGGAATGTTGATAATCAGGTAGAAAACAGCGCGCATACCGTGTCTGTATATGATCGCCAGTTTCTCAGTCGCCCGGCCACTCACCACACAATCCAATCCAATGGTGTGTTTTAAGTCGCAGTGAATGACGTCAATCGGGAGGGCTGTGCGAAAAGGCTGGAGACGTGTCGTAGTATTTCGTGTGGAAATAGCTGCGATACTAAACCTGTTTAGCGCCGGTGGCACTGGTAGCTCATAGAGGCCCACCACTACGCTAACATAACTCTGGAGCGTACGGTTGCTAACCATTGCGAGCCATTGGTTTGCATTGGAGTCAGTGTTTCGTACGATTAACACGAGTCGCGTTTAACAGCGCTCGCCCTCAACGCATAGCAACCCATGGTTTTCAAGCCACAGATGTATCGCTCGACAGCTTTTGCTCAAAACAATTGATTCCCATTTGAATTCCCCATCTTTTTCTCTCTCTATCTCTCTCTCACTCTCTCTATCCATTAGTTATGTATAGCTCTCTCTCAATATGAAGACTCGTAGAGAGGCTCGCGTTTCAATGGAAACCCGATTCCCAGCGCTCTTTTGATCCTCAATTGTCTCTTTAAACGCCAATACATTTGATATTATGTTTGTCTCATCAGCTTTTCGTACAAATTAGTGATTAAGCGTTAGAATTGTATTTCAAAAGTGATTTTTATGCCTAATCTCTAAAAAATATTAATTACAATAAGTCTTAAGTTATCGCTGTTTTCGCAGTTGTGTGTCATTTGTGGTGATATTTATCTCACGTCATAACCAAATCCATGTATTCATCGGTGGCATCAGTGGTGATGGTGCCAGCGGTGGCCATTCCTCGACAACTATAGCAATATTTATAAATCATTACACATAATGTCACTCAAGAGTGGTCTCAGTCTGTCGGAGATCCCGAGGGACGACATCCACGGCGTGTTCCGGACGCTGGAGTCGCCTAAAGTGAGCCGTCGGCGGTTCAGCGACGACCTCAGCGCCCACTTCGACGCCGACACCTTCGACGTCGAGCCCTTCGACAAAGGGTTAGTACTCATTGACCACCAGTTTATGATATGTTTGTGTTTTGACAAAATATTTACTAACCTCTGGTCTCATGGGATGACAGAATGCTATGCATTAAGGAAGAGTTGACACAAATAAGTCTAACCCTTCCGCGGGTCCACCAAAACAACGGCAAATGTGTTGCACTCACTCTCCAGACGAAGAACGAGCCGCAGCTCATCATCAATAACATCCACAACAGTCCCGCCATCGGCCACAGCGTCAGCAACGGCTCGCTGAGCCAATCGTTGCCCGATTTGCTGAACGAGAGTGGCGTCAAAGAAGTGCCCAATCGGCTGGACATCGCCTTCAACCCGGAGATGGCCATCACTCCGAACACGCCGTTCGCGGGCGCAGTGATCGCCACGACGCCCACCCAAATGGGGTTCGCCGGGCCCAGCAATGCCAGCTCCGGGGCCACCGCTAAGCGCCAGTGGAGTATCAACGGCTTCTTCGGCTGCTTCCGCACCATTTGGAACGCGTTGGACAAGTCGGCCGACAAACAGCACAAGTCGGACGACTGGGAGATCCCGTTCGAGAACATCCGCGACTTGGAGTGGTTGGGCAGCGGCGCCCAGGGGGCCGTCTTCATGGGCAAACTCAACAGCCAATTGGTGGCCGTCAAGAAGGTGAAGGAGAGGTGCGAGACGGAGATCCGGCACCTCCGCAAACTCAATCACCCCAACATCGTGGCGTTCAAAGGCGTGTGCACTCAGACGTCCAACTGTTACTGCATTGTCATGGAGTACTGCCCGTACGGACAGCTGTACGACCTGCTCAAGAGCGGCAAACGGGTGCCGCCCGGGAAGGTCGTCGACTGGGCGCTGCAGATCGCGTCCGGCATGAACTACTTGCACGTCCACAAGATCATCCACCGCGACCTCAAGTCGCCCAACGTGCTCATCACCTACAACGATGTGCTCAAGATATCGGACTTCGGCACCAGTAAACAGTGGAACGACAGGTCCACCAAAATGTCGTTCAAGGGAACCGTGGTATGTATTAGTTTACTATAATATTATTATGTTTTATTTTGTTTTTATTATGGGCTATAAAGTTATAAAATGTATCATTTGAGTGAATTAAGTTTTTGGTGCAAAATATTGCCACTATAGTCGGAAATTCTTGTCATATTTTTCTATTGATATGGGAGTGATAGGTATTCAGGATTTTTAATATACCTGTAATTATTAAGTAATATCTTGATTGAAGTTATGTTTTTATAATGATATAATGTATGCACTGAACGCCCTATGATTTACTCGAGAACTTCACTAAAAATATTTACAGTATATACACCACTCAAATCATTATGAGATAAGATTCACTGAATTGTACAGTACTTTTGTATTTAGTTGTAAAGTGAATGAAAAATAAGAAAAACTCAAGAATTTTAATTGTTTTGTAGGCTTGGATGGCACCGGAAGTGATTCGCAATGAGCCCTGTTCTGAGAAAGTGGATGTTTGGTAAGCATTTGACTTGTATTGACCCTTCATTTGCATTTATGTTCCCATTTGCGGACAAATCATATTTGTGTCTATATCTGGGCTAACGATTCCACTGATTAGATGCAGACATAAAGACATTTTATTGATCATAACAGAGAGAGAGAGAGAGAGAGAGACAATAAATTCGTAGCGATTTGTCCCATAAATAGGTCTCAGATATCGTTAGCTATAAACTCAATTCCGAAACTCTTTTATTATTTTTTAATAAACTTTCGTTTAGTTTCATTTTCGGAGTTTTTTTTAATGATTGTGTTTGTATTGAATAAAACCTAATGAGAAGTCAATCGATAACTCTTTTGCATATCGTATGACAAAAATCGATTAAAATAACAGAAAATTTATTAAAAACTATTAAATAAAAGGACATTAATTCTAAGAAACGATTCCTTTGTCCCAAATATCGATCCAAAATAAAATGCATAACTTTTCACTGGAAATACCCATTAATTTACTGGAAAAACACATAAAAAAATAAATTCTTTGTTACACACATTAATTAAATTTATTTATTTATTTTGTCAATTATGTAAACCAATAGGAGTTTCGGTGTCGTGCTCTGGGAGCTCATGAACTGCGAGATACCGTACAGGGATGTGGACTCGTCGGCCGTCATATGGGGCGTCGGCAACTCGTCCCTAACGCTACCCATACCTACCAAATGCTTTCCCGAAGGCTTTCAACTACTTATGAAGCAGTGCTGGAACGCCAAGGCCAGGAACCGGCCCTCATTTAAGAACATCATTATGCATATAGAGATCGCCGCCAACGAGTTGGTCAACATTCACGCCGAGGACTACTTTAAGCTGCAAATCGATTGGAGGGATGAGATCCAGAACTGTTTGGTGCGTATGAAGCGCAACGGTCGGCGCGATATGTCCACCGATGACGAGGCGGAGCTCATTAAGAAGCGGAAGGACGAGCTGAGCCACGCGCAGGACATCCGCGAGCATTACGAGCGGAAGCTGGAGAGGGCTAACAACCTGTACATGGAGTTGACGGCCTGTATGTTGCAGTTGGAGCAGAAGGAGAAGGAACTGATCCGCAGGGAGAAGGTGTTGACGGGTGGCAGGGCTCACAAGCGACAGATTGTCGGACCACTACTTCAAGCGGCCCACGAGAGGATCAGCAATAGCCGGAGGGGTTCCTATAGGCCCGACCAACCCATTGAACTTCAAAGTCCTGCCAAACAAGCGTCTAATGAGTGCATATCGTGTCACGGGTCGGCCCGCTCTAGGATTAAGCGCAACCGTCAGAGGCGTAGTATTAACGGACAGACAGCCGTTGCTCATTATCACAGCCCGGCCAACAACCCGGCGCTGAGTTCGCCACTCAATAACAATTACATCACTTATAGCCCGCGTCCGAGTCCTCTGCAGGAGAGGAAGAGCTTTGTCGACACCGAAACGCAAACCGATTACGTGTTCAGTGAATCCGATTTAGTGAGCCCTTCGTCGTCGACACTGTCGCCCATGTCTGCCATCGGACGGCCGGTGGAGACGGTCATCGAGATGGGCGACAACGACATCAATAACGGCATCATTCGAGGCATACCGAAGACCAGCACCACATCCACCTTCGACTCCGGGTTTGACTCTCAGAGTTGTCTGTCGACGCCCACCGCACGGACAGCCGGCGGCCATCACGACAGGAGTCCAGTGACGCCCATATCCGGCAAATCGAGTTCAGTCGAGACGGACACCGAAGACTCGAACCGAACCAAACTGAAGACGCGCTCAACAAATATCACTCAAAACACTGTTCCGAGTCTCAGCTCTATCGACGAGAACGGCGTTAACAGCAATACAGGCGCTCCCCTACCGGCGCCGAGCGACCAGTTCTGCGACGTGGCTATCGTCCGGAGGGGAAGTGTCACGTGTCAGCGCAGGTTCGGCGGCACCTGTATGTCCGACTTTAATAAGATAGCACACAAGTCGCCGCCATATATGGGTCAACGGCCTGTCCTACAGCACGCCGGCAGCAATATATCGATTGTGTCGCACAGCTCGAGCTCCGGAAGCGAAGAGGAGGGCGCCGTCGATAGCGACGACTACTGCGGCAGTCATCCGTCTCACCACAAACGGAAAGGGTTGGCGCAGCACCTGAGCCAACACCGGCTCAGCGGGCAATCCATTTCCACTCTGAGCTCAGACGGAAACCTGAGCGACGAAGAAGAGGGCAATACTAGTGAATACTCGAGTAATCAAAACGATATGATCTCTAGTCTGTCGAACCCGGACCTGACGAACGCTAACTTAGACAACAGTCCCGTCAGCGCCAGCGCCGCCAACAGCGTCGGCAATAGTGATAGCAAAGTAAGTGTCGGAACCTATTAGTTGTTGTCTTGATTTGTTGTGGCGAACCATTTGGCATGAGATTTGAGATACAAAACTATTGCTCACAATCTGTTCCGTTGTATTGTTTGGTCGGTTCCGTGTGTCACCAGAAGCTGCCATCGACTCCGCACTCACTGTCTTCGACAAACACGACGACAACCAACTCAGACACGGATGACGTGTCCAACGTTACGGTCGCCACGTCTTACCTGGTGGTCCACAACCCATCCCACTATCCCTCCTATAACCTCAATAACAACAACAACGACAACCAGACCAACACATCCCACACCACCACCTCATCCTCGTCCCAATCGCAGCCATCACAACCACAGCAACCAAATAACGTCACGAGTGAGACCACCGTTTGGTGATATATCGTAGCATACAATGGATGACCTCAAAGAAGTTTGCGTCTCAGGCTTTTGGACTCTATTTGTATTAAACGTCTCATAAATTTATATATAATTAGCTCACAATTAGAGGCAAACAAAACCGCAAAATGCATAATATTTTCTCCACATATGTGTACTTTCAATACAAAACACGAGAACAATACATTCCATAGTGTGATGATGACTATCCGGGTGATCAAGTCCTCTGATTTTTTACCACCGCTTTTCATCGACCCACTCATACGATGAACTGTTGGTTTACCACAAAAAAGTCTTTGGATCTAATCATTCAATTATACAAATATTCAAACAATACAGTAGTGTTAACACGAATAGTATTGCTTTGCATTCCAGTACTACCGAGTCTATCATTAATTTAAGATTAAAAGTACTTTTTTCTATGATTTTGTAGGATATTTTAATTTTGAATTATTTTTTTAGACTTTATTTATACGATAAGAAGTTCCCCTGACATTAATGAAGTGAAATATTATATACACCAAGTATCCAATACACTACATAAGCTATAATATAACATTCCGTTTGTTTTTACATTTAAGTTATAACTATATATATACAGAATATTCTGTATATACAGTATATTCCGAGAGTGATTTAGGTGTCGGTGTATATTGACATTAAATACAACAAAAAGTATTGAAATAATTACCTGTATTATCAATTGTAATCTACTTTTGAGCTCTTTATAGACTTTAATTTTTTATATAAATTCCTGAAAAAACACACAAAAAAAGTGATGAACTTTTTTGGCTTTTTTGTTGAAATCTGTCGATTCAAATAAAAATATTAATTATTTGTTGATTCTATTGAACCGAAAAAGTTTGTGTCTTTATTTCGAGCGAATATCTAGTATTCAATTCGTGAATACAATTCATGTCAACACATATACACTCGTCGACTGAATAAATAGTATTTAGTTTTTGCAGTGAATTTATGGCATAGTTAGTCAGAAATGATTACTAAATCAATAGGAATTGAATTGAATTGAATACTATTTAGTAATAATCTTGTGGTAAACTCATCGCGATTACTATAATATGTCAATAATTCGTAAATATATTTAATGTAAATTATGGCTATTATGCAATTCTCTACACATTTCATGCCATTATTGAATTAGTTTTAATGCAAGGAATTATAACAGATTATTCTGACTATTAAATTAGAGAGTGCTATATCATAGACAATAAACCTAATAGGAATTTCCTATCACCATGGTTGACTAATGTCTCATAAATATATTGAATTTTTGTGCTGGATAACTATTATTCTGTGCTCAATATACTTGATTAGTGCAATTTATTTGACAAAATTGTCAACCAGTTCATATGAACTGAATTCAAAATTCAAATAATTCACGTCATAATCACTTTCATAAGTCATTCATCAAATGGTATAATAATTTCCAACTGTATCGCAAACATTATAGTAAGGGTCGTTCACAAAGTAGGTTGACTTACAACTAAAACACCAAACAACATTCATTTGTTTTGCATTCATTAACTTTTACACGACCCCTTCCCTCCCCTCCCAGTGTGTGTCCGTACTCTGTGAACGATTCCCATAAGAGGAGCACACAAAAGGCTGCAGCGATGGTGAGCGCCACCTATGGGGTTGGAGCGCACCGGCAGTATAGGCTGTCCAACGATAGACACAAAATAGGGCTTAAACTGCACTTAAATCTAATGAATGGGTAAGTGTTGGCCTTTTTATACACTTGAATGCCATTAACGCGTGCAGTAAT